CAATACCAAACCTAGTGAATATCCTTGTATCCATTTTTAGTAAAGCTAACAAGACTAAAAACCTGCTTTGTATGCCATAAATTGTACAAAATTGTCAAAGTTTTGGAAGTGTGTTCCTACCTAATGTATGAACCTTGTAAGATACTACAGAAGTTGTAGCCATGTTTAGGGCAAGATCTAGTGAAACTCTGGCCCTAAACAAAATGGCTGGAGAGTGACAAGTAGCTCTCCTAAAAATACTGAGGCAAGTTATGGGAGGGATTTCAAATGGCTCTCTTTAAGCTTAACTTATGCAATAAAAATTTGCTGAATAGGTGATTTTCCGTACAATTGCGATATCTCGCGAGATGCATGAAAGACGCGCGTCGAACGTCTGCCGCAAAAATTGAACGATTTAATTTTGAACTCTAATTTCCTTATTTCGTAGCTCACACCGACCGGCCGATCTTCGACAGAGAAATATTGCTTTCGAATACCCTCACTTAATCGAAATTGCCTATCATCAAATGTGGACAGCACATTATTAAGCTTGGAAATGTCCCCAAAATACTTTCGCGTTTGTCGAATCCCACGCGATGTTTGACGCCACTACGTCGCTATGACCTTTGTTTGTCCTGTTTTTACGTTCGATTTCACGCATAACGCATGATTCTTGCAGTGTACGGAAAATGGTCTATTTGGATTTTAAAAAAATTGCACAAGCAGATTACTTGAGTGAGGTACCAGTAACTCTCCTTTAATAAAAAAAAAAGGTCTGAAAACTGAAGGAAATTACAAAGTTCATGCCATCTGCCAATCAGACTTAAACCTTCAAAATGTGTGCTTTAGTGGATTAAGCATTCTTTGTTGAAAAAGGCTGACATTTACTTATTACGTTACAGTTGTATCAAATCGTGATTTGAATTGAGAATTTTTTCGGCATATGCTGATTCCTGTACAAAATTCATTTCTGGTATTCTGTATCATTTTATTGTCGAATTTTATTTGTGAAAGTATTGCTTGTCGATGGGTTTCACGATAGTTGTAAGAAAAAAAAAAAGCATTTCGCAGAATATGAACAGTATCACAATTGTTCAAAATGTGTAAATATCTCAAATTGCACAATATGTGGAAGTTCTGGGAAAAAAAAATAAGTGAAAGTGAAACTGCTTTTTTTACCTTTTACAAAGTTAAAGTAAAGTAAAGTAGAGTATGACGCATTGAAAAGAAAGTTTAGTGATGCGTTACCCCAAGTGCCGCCAAATATTCTTAGTTCAGCTTGATAACAGAATATGCCTCTGGAGATGGGAAGTAGAATTAATAGCACTCGCAAATGAATGAATTAGTGGTGTATAATATTATCTTTATATAGTTGTCTGTCTCGATTGTACAGAACCACAGTCTATCTAAGATGGAGGGACTGTGATAAGATATTGTACATAATGGCTAATTTACATATGAATATTTCATAGTTTATGAATCAATTTGAAGGGCTCTGGGGGAAAAATTTCAGTCTGAAATAAGGAGCTACGTGTACATATAATGCACATTGTAGATTGGAATAATGAAATTGACCACCTTTCTGTTTCAAACGAATCCTCATAGCAGTGAGAAAAATATTGTGTAAGTAAAGTTGATAATGCTGTAAATTCTCCATTAGATGAGTAAAAATTTGTTGCCATGGAAACTAATATACTCTTCTGTAATAAATTATTGAATTTTAATATTTTAAACTAATGATTTATTTATTACAATAATCTTATGTGCACTTTATTTGATATTCACACTCATTTCTGAACTGGATCACATTTCAGAACAGCCCGGTGCAATCGTTGTTAGGCTGAATTCAATATTTGCCACTTTCACAAATTTAATCAGGACCTCATAGCCAATAGGAAATTTTGTTAATTTGATTCAAAATCAACAACGAAACTATAGAAAATTACCAATTTTGCTTCAAAATTTTGTAAGAAGAAACCTAGAATTAACACATGCCATATTACTACCTCAAAAGTCTGAAGATGTTAAAACATTTTCCAATATTTCAGATATTCAAATATTATGATTTTTTTTTCAACAGGTGAAAATGAAGTTCTTACCAGGCTATACGAAATAACATCACAAAACCAAACATGGCGGAGTTACATCGGAATGGGGTACTACAACTGCAATATTCCAAGCACGATTAAGAGGAACATTCTAGAGAATCCAGGCTGGTAAGAATTCATTCTCTGCTCCTTAAAATTCTCTGGTTAATATTTTTCTTGGTAGTAAACAGTGTCAATGTTGGCACAGGTCCTGTACTAGACAGCTGTTTATGATATGTTTGCATGGTGTACTGTGAAATACTTTATTTTCACTGGAATTAATTTTCGCTGAAGACTTTTTAGGTGTTTTGTATGGAATTTAATTTCACTGATTTTTGACGAGTTTAATGTAAAACATAGGAAAAAGGGTATATTCGCTGGATTTTATTTTCACTGAATCATTCCGTCAGCGAAAATTAATTCCAAGCGAAAATGAAGTATTTTACAGTATTTTACTTTACAAGTGCTGGAATTAAGGGTTTGTACAGAAAGGTTTGGGAAGCAAAGGGTACTTCAATATATAAAGTTATGGTTGGAAAAAAAAAAATTATGAAAAAATAAGGAAAAGAAAATGTCAATTTCCACAATTTTTTTTTTTTTTGCCTAGTACTGGTAGTCTTTCCATCATAATGCCCTTTCCCCTGTGTCTATGTATATGATTAAAAATAATCTGCACTCTTTCATTATGATCTCACCATCTAAATATAACTTTGTACATCGGTTCATTCGATTCATCCGGCATTGTTTACTGACCCTTGTGACAATTGACAATTTTTTAAACTGTTTGTCACTGTCAGCTTAAAAAAATATAGAAAGCATCATTCCCTTTTGTTTCATCCTTGATCTAAATATACTATTGCTCACGAGTTTGTTAATTTGGTCCTGTTACCTTTGGTCTGATAAGAATCTTGTTAGTATGTGTAAAAATGAACACGCATGCACACACGCGGCACGTAGATAGCTAGTTATGCGATTGCAAAAAGCACCTAATTACAGTAAAACCTTTTATTTTCGCTTAGAATTAATTTTTGCTCCTTTCGCTGAAGGAATGATTCAGTGAAAATAAAATCCAGTGAATTTACCTTTTTTACTATATTTTACATTCAACTGGTCAAAAATCAGTGAAAATAAATTCCATACAAAACGCCCAAAGTCTTTTCATCCAAAAATTAATTCCAGCTAAGTATTTTTAATACAGCAGCTATGAAATGAATTCTTGGTTTGTGTTAAATGTATTCATATTATATGGCTTAGTACCATACGGTTACTACGGTTACTACGGTTTGGTACCACTTTTACCAATAGCATCACAGGGCTACAAAATATTAACCCTTTGAATCCATACTGGTATTTTTTTTAACGTCAAAATTCCAGTGTAACATTTTTATGTAATTTTCTACAATTTCTTGATTAATTTTAGACCATAGTAAGATTTTCTCTTTGGCTACAGATCTTAATAATTTTTACAATAACGTGGGAAAAACTATTATGACAATTTATTTTGTGAAAGGTGATCGAATTCGTCTTTGGTGTTCAAAAAGTAAATAAACTTTTTGTTAATTTTATCAATATTAATTATGTAATTTGCATACTGGATGTGATTTATTTTGACGGACCTTTTATTAGCTTCGCTGTCGACTTTGTTGAGCAGAGCTTATCATATGAGTGATTGACCGTCGTTGTCCGTGTCAATGTTTACTTTTTCGACTCTTCTTGAAAACTACAAGCCTGAATGATTTGATACTTTGTGTATATGTACCTTGGGTAGACCTCTCTCAGATTTGTTGATTTTATGATGATATCTTCAATTCTCTAATTTTGGTGAATATTTTTGTAATTTTTGGTGAAAAGTGATATTTTCAAATTCTTGTTGAAAACAGCAAGTCTGATTGCTTTGATATTACATATATAGGTACTACATGTGGACCTCTCTCAGATTTGTTCATTTCATGATATCTTCAATTCTCTAATTTTAGCGAATATTTTTGTCATTTTTGGTGAAAAGTGATATTTTCAAATTCTTGTTGAAAACCGCAAGTCAGATTGCTTTGATGCTATACATATTGTTCATTTTCTAATGATATTTTCAGTTCTTTAATTGAAATGTGTATTGCTAACAGTGGAGCTATCTCAGCCGACAGTCTGCTTGTATTTATATGCGCATATACTATTTTATTTGTGGTTAATAATTCAGCCGCTGTCTGTCTGGATTTAGATACTCTTGGCTTATCAGATGGTTTGCCGAACTAATTGTTTGATTTTATTTGCGATAGTTGTAGTTCCAAATTCGATACAAGCTTTCAGTAATTAGTTGTATGCTTTTAGTTCGAGTGTATTCTGAGAGGATAAATATCCTCTTGATTTGTCACGGCCGTTCATTTCAATGCGCGGCTGTATATTCCCTTGATGCGTTAATTTGTTTGTCTCGGTGTGAAATTTTCCTCAAAGTCGAGTTCATTACCACCAACAACACAAACTTGCACTTATAAATGGCTGAGTGCATGAGACAAGGTGAGAGAGTGGATGCATTAGTGGGTACTTAAAAACTGGAGAATGTCAGTGTTGCGACTGAAATGGTGATTTAGGTGTGATTCTATCAGAATTCCGTCGCTTATCAGGTTAGTGTTAGATGAATCATGTTGTCAAATTTATGGTCGTGTCATAAACGATTTTATTTTTATGAGGCGTCATTTTGTTAGTGTGCGAGAATGGAACAACTTTGTAGCTGTGGATAGTTTACTGGCGTCACTTTGACATTTGCAATTTTTTTTTCTTCAGGTATCCCAGTAAATGATCAAATAGTGGGAAGATTTTGTCTGTGTTAGCTTCTTAAATATTTCTCAGTTTAATTTTCACTGATAATAGAACAATAAAAACTACAAATCAAACATTTACGATATTGCCAAATCTTGACTTGAGTTTCATTGGATAGGTCTATCAAAAATGTTTGGTTTGCTGGTAGGGCGTCATTTTTCACTCACCGACTGTGATTAGCTCCTGAAATGTATATATGCTGAATGCAGACATTTTTTTTTTAACCACATTTGCGAGTACATGTCGCAACTTCCCCAGGTAATTTTAAAATAACATAGCAACTTCATTGCGCTATAGAGTGACACTTGTAAATCGTGTTGATTTTCGTTGCTGGGAATTTTGCCAGTTGTTAAATTTATGGCTTTCATAAAGACAAAATTTAACAAAAGGCACCAACACTTATTGACATGAGACACTAATTAAAATTCCACTGCTCCAAAATGTCATGATTTTTTTTTTTTTTTTTTTTTTTTTTTTTTTACGAATTTTCACATTTTTTTTTTTGCAAAATTATTGTGACCACAAGAAAGAAAGAATGGAAATACTGGAGTATGATGCATATTTCTCACAATGTAGCCATTACTTTCTGCGGCAATACTTGTAATGTAATTATTAGCAAAACAGTGTCTAATACTGCATTATTGCTATTCCATTTTCTTCCGGTAACAGTGAAGTGGTTCTTAGTATACTGACAGACATGTCGATAACCTGCACTGCACGCATTGCTCAGTCAACGTTTTTTTTTTTATTTCAAAGGTCAACACAGTATACTCCATATCAACCTGAAGTTGCTCAAGGTAGGCTAGAAAGCTTGATGAATTACCAGACAATGGTCGCTGACTTGACTGCCATGGATATTGCAAACGCCTCTCTATTGGATGAATCTACAGCTGCTGCTGAAGCTATGGGACTGTGCTACAGGTGGGTGCTTTTCCCATCATGCATCATTCACAACTCTTTTCCCATCATGCATCATTCACAACTCTTTTCCCATCATTCATCATTCCCTAATCATAATTTCATATATTCCTACTGGGTACATGTGCTGAAATATAAGAGGACTGAGGGCTAACATGCACTGAAGGTTATGTCTGATCATCAAATCAAACGGGCTTTTCATTGTTTTATTCACTCGAGGCCATTTAAAATTATTTTAGGAGGTGCTTCTAAATTTGATTTCAGGATTCTCTTTGACAAGATTTCTCATGAACTGTACGAAATCCCATTCTCTTGTATTGTGATGCTCCCAGGGGTTCATGAGAGACTTTCTACAGATCATACAAAGTGTAAAATGCAATTTGATGAAGTCTTGTAATACATTTTGAAAGGAAATTGTCAATCAGTATTACAGTTCAATATTTAAGTTTATTATATATATATATACAAGACTGAATGCCTTCTTTATTTTAATAGTTACGGTACTCATGATGGATCTTGTTAAGCTGATGTAGAAACATTAAAATTGCTTTGATTTGTAAAATGTTGTATTAGTCTAAGCTGTAATTTTTTTCTTTCATGTAATTTTGTCTGCAATTGTTTATTTTGTTGAGTTGGATAAGTTCCCGGATGCGTTTTGGTGATCCGCTCAATTATTGTCAACTAAAATAAGCCTAAATTCTAATCCTTGTTGTCGATTGGTTCTCGGGTATGACTTGGCAGATTGCGTTCCAACTCGGTATGGTGACGTAACAAATTAAATTGCACTTTCATGTTTGTTTTTAGATCTGATTCAAGATTGTTGCCTGGTTACCATTTTGTCTCTTCCTAATTTTGTTCTGTGATATTTGTCGGGTGTTTGATCTTAATATAGTTCTTTTGATAAAAAATGTGCTTCTGTGTTGGCAATATACAGTAAATTTTTCATTCTTGTCGACTTCAAAGGTTTTACGACCTTTTATTTTTGCATAGAATTTATTTTAACTGTAAATAGGCAATTTGCAAAGCTAAAATCAAGTAACTGTACTTTACGGTTTGCTTGTAATTTATAACAATTCAACAAATGAAGTCAAAATTCAATTGAAGCATAAATTAAATCCAGTGAAGAAGAATGTAATTCACTGTATAATTAAGGAAAACAATTTCTAAACAAATTTGTATTGAATTTGTTTTTTTATTAGCCCGATTCTATGATTTTTCGACACAAATTTAATGTGTTCAATGATTTGGGGCATAGTGATGCAATTTGACAGTACATTCAATTAATCATGCGTCTATTACAGTGCCCATTATTGCATGGATATTATTTATATTAAATGTTTATGAAGGAGATATCTTCATCAGAATGCCAAGTCCATTTTATTTATAATAGTAACTATTTTGACATCTAGTTTCACCTATTGAGCTGATTTCAATAAAACTTTCTTTTTTATTCCTTATTAAAAGCTGGATTAGTCTTTTCTGATGTCCAATTCAGACGAATAGAACGTTGAAGGTGGTAGATGTCAACAGTCGATCATTGATTTCTGATATCCTCGAGTCAGGGAGAAAAAAAGAGAAAAAAAATAACAAATGCAACTGTAGTGTTATCCATGCGTTCATTTCACTTTACAGATCATCTGACTAATTTGGCCAATCCCTGCCTATATCAGCAGCTGTTAAAAAAAAAAAAATCTGAACTTTCATAAAAAAACATTATTCTTTTAACCACCAGTTCCCTCTTTTCATCATAAAATAGTCCTGTTATAGTCAGCACTTTCCTTGAAAATATTGGGACAAAAATGGCTAATTTTTTTTTTACTATAAATTGAAATTTTTTTTTGTTGGCTTTAAAATTAAGGTTCATTACCAGCAATATTGAAGAATTTAAGAACAAAGTAAAAATAAACGTGGACGAGAAAGGCAGGTGGTGGTGTACTTTGCACAGTACCTCCAGGGGTTGAAATACTCTGGTGCACTATGCACATAGATTATTAGCTAGTGCAAGTAAACTCAAAATATAATGTGCACGCTGTGCATGAAGAAATTAACACAACATTTTCTCATTATATTCACTAAGCCTAAATTAAGTTCAACAAATATTGTAAGGTAACTAAAAAAAAAAGCAAATTCTTTCGTGTTCACATTGATCGAGAACCCGTAAATTGTATCATAACTTTAAAAGTGGTGCATTTCACAACAAGTTAGTGCAGGTAAATTTCAAATTCAACATGCACACTGTGCATGCAGGGAAAAATTCTATTTCATTCCCTGACATCTCAATATCCGATGAAATGAGAGTGTATTCTATTTAAGTCCTTAATGAGTGCACACTTGTGTTAAACACAATATAGGATAAGTATATATATATATATATACTTATCCTATAAGTGTGAATTACTTTGTGGCTCCTATGTGTAGAAGCTTTAGTATATACATTCAAATTTAGTTTTCGAAGAGAAAAAATATCTTATACCTTTATATTGTTGTATTTGTTTTCTCAAATACAGATTAAAAAACAAGGCAAAAGATTTAAGGTGTTGAGTTAACTTAAATTGGGATATCATTTTGTCAATGTTAAAAAAAAAAAAATCGAATACTGTACTCGTGCTATTACAAGCGTAACTCCAATGGAAACACGTATTAACCCAAAACCACATTTGTTGTTTTTTGACTGAATCATTAAAATATTACTTATTTTCACTAAACACCTGTAATTTACATAAATTGAATTGGTGGGGTTATACATGCATGTATATTTAGTTTCTCCCAAGGACCCCCTCTGCACCTCTACCCATCCCTCGCATCCACCCTTGCCCCCCACTCCAGCTGATGTAAATTCTTTTTTTTCAAAGCCAATTCTATGTACTATCTGTGTATCATATTTTTTAATGAAAAAGCAATCATCAATTTGTAAGATTTTAGATAATGGCGAAAAAAATAAAAGAAACTTGATACAGTATTTATGCCGTCGACGGGTACATTAAAATGTAATGTTGCATGTTGCTCCAGGCTTGTCACAATAATCTTATAAAAGGCAGGTTTACAAATCGCATTTCGTTGAGATAAAAATATATGCACTAGGTGCATCTGTAAGTGGTCGGTCGCCTTGCAAGAATGTATTGTGGATTTAAGTGATAGACTTTTCCATTGAATTTCCCTTGTCTGTTTGACAGGCATGATGATGATGATAAAATTTGGTGTTAGGAGGTGGTTGCTATGGAAATCCCGTTGATTGGTCTTATGATGTTACTATGGCTAACAAAGGCCCTGAAATTGACGATGCGTTCATTATGCTCAGACTTTCTTTATATCATCTGAAATGTGATGTACGGTTTCCTGTTAAAATTTATTGCACAATCAATGCAGGCCACCATCTTTCGTACTAAGGATATTATATTTGGAATTAGAAGAATAAAAAAATCCTTATTTGTGTTTCGCTTTGTTAAATTTTTATATCGCTTTACATTGCCTCTAGTGTCAGATTTAACAAGCACATTTTGAATAATAATACCTGTAGGTACTATTAAATGTTATGGTAGTTTTTGATGACTGTCACAGTAATGCTTCCATATCTCCCAAATCTGAATAATTTGCTCCCAGAGTTTATGTGATACCAATATGATGAAAACATAGTGTTGACGAAGGAGTTTCTAGTCTCGAACCAGGTTGATTATTTGCATATGAAATTGATTTTGTGTGGTTTCTATATAACCAATTTGGCCATGTATCGAAATGACCATGCTAAATATGGGCGGTGGTCTCTTCCCTACACCGTGTCTTGCTGGACCAGACCACTAGGACTAGGACTAGGACTAGGACTAGGACTAGGCCAGACCAGACCAGACCAGGACAGGACAGGACAGGACAAACTGAATCAGCTGTGCTGCACTCCACTCCTCTGCATCGCATTCAATTCTCCTCTACACCCTTTCATGTTTATTTCTGAAGGGAAGAGTCTTAAATGAATTCTGATTTTATTTTTATTTTCAGACAAAACAAACGTTCCAGGTTTTACATGGATGCCAAGCTGCATCCACAGACAATTGCGGTGGTTGAGACTAGAGCAGAGTAAGTAACTAAAGAACTGATCAAAATACACTGTCTGTATTCATGCTAGAAATTTGATCTGTATTGATCAAAATAAGCGAGATGTCATATTTTCACTGACTGATCGCATTTAATCTCTTGCATGTTTGCCGAGAATATTTTGTTACGCCTTGCTGCTTCAAATCCCTTAATTTTGAAGGAATGCATTTTTTTAAAATGGGTTAACGAGTTGATGACTATGGAATATGACTAGAAAATATAATAAATTTTCTTCCTTGAAATTATTATTATTGAAATTATCCTGAAATTTTCTTTCAAAAAAGATAATTCAAACACAAGAACCAACATTATAAAAAAAAAAGGTCAGTTTTGAACTGACCAGACTTCTTAATTTTGATAATGGGTGCCTTCAAATAACCTTGAATAGTTTAGTAACCTTGTCGTATTGTGTTTGCATTGTATTTTTTTTTTTTTAAGAATACTACTTCCTGTTTCTTGTCGTGGGGAGAATGAACACAATTTCCTCCTACACTCCCCTTTATTCAGCATAGTGATTTATAAAACTTCAACGTAAGCCTTTCGTTGATGTCTAATTCTTGTCGACAAATGAAAAGACCAATTTGTCATCTTGTGTCTGACGTTTCCATTCAAATACATTGATTTGTTGGCTCGTGACATTGTAGAATTACCGTTAATTGAATTAACCTACAGGGAAATGTCGCTGTGAATATGAATCAGTCAGTTCAGTTTTTTTAACCCATTTTTAAAACTATTTTCAGTTACCGGTACATGCGACACTTGTGCATGCAGTGTGCATGGTCTGTTTGTCCAGGTCTCTGTCTGATCTTGTATTAGCTTGAGTCAAGATTATTGTAAACCGCTTAAATTTCATGGCCGGCCAAATTTCATTTACTTTGAGAATAAGTGTGAAATGGAAGTTAGTGAAGATTATGCGATTCTTAATAGGCTGGCAGTCAGTGATACGTCACAGCAATTTTCTTAAATATTGTGATCACGAACGTCGTATTAAAAAATCAACAAATCATAATTCCTAGCAGCGAAAATTAAACTGTTTATCGTACTAATAACCTCCCCCTCTTTACTCTCTTACTCTCTCAATAAAATGTTTAAATTAATTTTATTGCAGTTCGTTTTTGATGCAGCCTTAAAATCATAACAAATTTGATTGCCAATATTTTATTAAAAAAACGAAAATTGCAGCTAATTGTCATGTCTGGCCGTTAAAGAGTGATTGCTTTTTGCAAATCTTCATACTTGTCATAAATTACAAAATAAACTTGACAGATCTTTGATACAGTTATTTAATTTTGCATTTTCATAAACCTGTCAACCGTTGTGATGGATTGAAGAATTATTATTTAATATTAACATTTTCTGAAACGCTGAGAAAGGAACAATTTTTTTTTTTTTGAATGTAGTTTAATAACTGTAACTATAGATGTATGGTGCATGCACCTCTCGGCTTTGATTGTCAAAATTGGTGACTTTTTGATATACAATAGATTTTCTGAAATTAATACAAACTAAATTTCAGTTTAAAGGGAAACCGCTCAATCCCATGGATTGTACCAAAGAATCGTGGGACACTATTGTTTATGTTTACAATGTTAATCTATCTTTTGTTATCCATTGTTATTTTAATCCAGAAAGTAAATTTGTTGTGAGATTAGGCTTAACTGGAAGGATCCATTGATGTCCCGGGGGGGGGGGGGGTAGTTTATTTTGTTATTGATATAAACAGATAGTATACATTTCAAGTTGCTGGAAAAATTTGAAATGTACCAATGCATGTACCAATAACAAAAAAAAAAAATAATACTCTCAGCACAAATAGATATTTTTTTCTGCTGCATTTATAAACCTTCAAAAATGTACTTTTTCAAATAATTTGTCCATATTTTTTCAAACATTCTAATCAGAACCATATTTTATTTGATTCAAATTTAACTAAACAGTTAGAAAAGGGAAGGGGAAAAGTGTGTGTATAATAATCAAAAATGTGTTAATAATTTATTTTTCAAGGTCTCTTGGTGTGGACATCGTTATTGCCAATCATAAAGATATGGATTTCAGCAAGAAAGATTTCTGTGGGGTGATATTTCAGTATCCGGACACTGAGGGGAATATTGAAGATTTCACTCGTCTCGTCGATACAGCACATGCTCATGGGGTGAGTAATTTAAATATTCTTCTCCATTGGCCAGAATGAGTCATGTGATGTAATGATTAATTTGAATACATTTGCATATAGTTGATTTACACATGTAGATGATTTTAATAATACTGTCCCTATGGCATGACATTTTTTGAATGTTAGAAAAGATAATTATAATGAATGAATTAATGAAGTCATATTGGGGGATAATTTTAAATGAAACTAAATCAGCATTTGGAGTCTTTATAAATTATCTTTTTGTTTACGTCTTTCCATAATTGTTTTCAATGAATTATTGAATTGTACCCGACTGCAGTAATCAAAACAGATCGTACAGTCAAGAATAATGACGTAAAACTCCATACCCTAAAGCACCTATTTTAATTGGATGAGATTTGCGGATGATGCTTTCTTGTGACATGAACAGTTGTCGGAATGATGCATGCGTCTCTTGAAGTGTTGAATCGAGGATACAACACTGTCTACCCTCCCAGCTTAAATTGAAAAATTGTCTGTCGTAATTAGAAAAATATTATTTCTGACACTTTTCCCTTGAAATCTAATGCTGCAGCAACAGACAGCTAATTTTAGTTTCAAATTGGAATAAATTATTAATAGTTGAGTGCGAGCATCTTTAATTTACAGGGTTCTGTATAGAATCTTAATTATCTTAGATTAGGTATGCCGAGTGTTGCCTTGTATATTGAAACTTCTTGTTGGTCGATCGATACAACATCTAACCCCATCAGTGAGAGGTCAGTGTACTGAACCATCACATGATTGAACCAAACCAAATCATACTTAACCAGACCGGACCAAACAAACAATTGTGTGTGAAATGACAGCATTCCACATTTTGGACAAAATACATCAAATCATTGATTCTTTCACACTAATAATTTTAATCATTAAAATACTGAATGTGAATTCTTGGGTGTGCATGTACTTGTAGGTAAAAAGTCTTTTGCATGCTGAACAGGTGATATCCTCAGAGCGTATTTTATGACATATTTTTGGAGTGGCAGGGATGTGCATCTAATCTTATTTTTAGCTCCGCTGTCGACTTTGTCGAGTGGAGCTTATCATATGAGTGATTGTCCGCCGGCGTCCTTGTCAATGTTTTACTTTTTCGACTTCTTCTTGAAAACTACAAGCCTGAATGCTTTGATACTTGGTGTATATGTACAGTATGTATGTACCTTGGGTAGACCTCTCTCAGATTTGTTCATTTCATGATCATATCTTCAATTCTCTAATTTTGGTGAATATTTTTGTAATTTTTGGTAAAAAGTGATATTTTCGACTTCTTGTTAAAAACCGCAAGTCCAATTGCTTTGATATTACATGTATAGGTACTACATGTGGATCTCTCTCAGATTTGTTCATTTTGTAATGATATCTTTAGTTCTCTAATTTTGGTGAATATTTTTGTCATTTTTGGTAAAAAGTGATATTTTCTTGTTAAAAACCGCAATCATTTATGGTGAAAAATGATATTTTTGAATTCTTGTTGAAAACAGCAAGTCCCATTGCATTGGTACTATGCATATTGTTCATTTTCTAATAAAATCTTCTGTTCTTTAATTGAAATGTGCATTGCTAACAGCGGAGCTATCTCAGCCGAGAGGCTGTTTGTTTTTTAATACATTTCTTTCGTTATTTGTGCACGGTGTCGGACAGTGTCCCCTGCCTTTGCCCTTTTAACGCACATCAACTGACAGTGTGGGGTGCCCCTAATACCCAAATCTTAATCTTATCTAAGTCATAATTAGGCGTTTGTCTGAGATAATGTTCCATTAAAAGAGATTTGTTTGGGGTCAGCTACTATCTCAGACTTCTTATCTGGGTAAATAATGTATGTGTGTATATTTATTGACTAGGTACAACAGATAGTATATCTTGTCATAAATAGATTTTTTTGAAATTGATGCTTTCCAAATATAAATTTTAAAGTGCATTACATGCATATTTATTGTTGACTTGTTTCTAATTTACACAAGTTCATAGATAGGACAGATATTATTCCAGATTTTATTTTTTTGAAAACTTGATTGAACTGTAGATGTATGTATGTTTGTACAACACTAATTACAGTGTAGGTTGTTTAAGAGAGAAAAATTATTCTACCATTCCAAATAACAAATAGTGTCTAATAGAAATCTGATGTTGTTAATTTGTCATACATAATTAATTTATTTTAACTCTTTTAAATTGATTAGCCTCTCTGAATTTTCTGTTTAAAAAAAAAAAGGCTTTGTTGTTTTTCTACACTACAAATCCTTAGAACATACTTGCTGTGAACTGTTTAAATCTAGACTTGTTTTTTTTTTATCTTTTTTCTTCAGTCATTGGCTGTCTGCGCAACTGATCTCCTTGCACTGACCATCTTGCGTCCACCTGGTGAGTTCGGGGTGGACATTGCTCTCGGTAACAGTCAACGATTTGGTGTTCCCCTCAACTATGGCGGTCCTCATGCTGGATTCTTTGCTGTTAAGGACAGTTTGAAAAGAATGATTCCTGGACGAATGGTTGGCTTAACACAGTGAGTATTTTGATACACTTTATGAAATAAGAATTACATCAGAGTATTGATATTAAAAGTGCAACAGTCGTTTCGCAGCGCATTTTCAAAATTCGAGTAAAGTGTTTGTTGCATGTATTAAGCATATCGTATGCATGGAACCTACCTTGAACATAATGCTGTGCAATGACTGGTATTTTTATTTCTTGATTGTAGATGTTTTTTTCTTTCAATGCTGAATTTTCTTTTTTTGTGGCCATTTGGATTATTCTTTTCAAATGCCCTAATTTGAAATTTTTTATTTTATATTCTGGAAATTTTAATTTGGAACCAAATAGACCTTATTTCTGATGGAATAAAAATGATGTTCAAAGTGCATTTACTGCATACTTTATTCAGCACTTCAAATTCTCAAGTCTGCACATTTCAGTCTGTGCATATTAATTAGGTAATTTGCATATCATCAACCTTTTGAGTAGTTGCCTTTCACAAACTAAACCTGCGGCGCTTATCATATAAGTGATTGTCTGTTGTTGTTCAGTGTTGCCAATCGTCGTCTGGTGTCAAGTTTTTACTTTTTCGACTTCTTCTTGAAAACTACAATTATTTTTGCTTTGATACTTGGTATATATGTACCTTCGACAGACCTTTTGTAGATTTGTTCATTTGGTGATGATATCTATAATTCATGAATCTCGGGGATTTTCGCCTTCTTGTTGAAAACAGCAAGTCGGATTGCTTTAATATTATATTTATAGGTACTACATATGTAGACCTCTCTCAGGTTATTCATTTCATGATAATATCTTCAATGCTCTAATTTTGATTAATATTTTTGGTAAAAAGTAATATTTTAGACTTCTTGTTAAGAACCAAGAGTCAGATTGCTTTGATATTATACATATAGGAACTACAGATAGACCTCTCTCAGATTTGTTCATTTCATGATATCTTCAGTTCTTTAATTGAAATGTGCATTGCTAACAGCAAAACTATCTCAGCTGAGAGGCTGCTTGTTTAATATTTGTAGTTATACAAATGAGATGAAACGTTTTCCTGCATGAAATTGCTTAGTCTTCGAAAAGTTCATGATGTAGAAACTATATTAGTCATACTTGAGTATATTCAGAATTTTCTATTGCTTTGCACACAGATTTATGAAGCTATATTTAATACATATAAGAGGAAATAAATAAATAAATAAAAACAAAATTAAATTATACAGTTTTTTCCAAATATTTCATACAAGCTTATATTGGAACTAGCAGGGATTGTGGGCTCATCGGTGAAAGTGAAAGTATATCGATCATTCTTAAACGTGTCTCTGAAAAGACACTTTTGTCCTCACCTTATCTCTTGATATTGTACACAATAAAATTGCCCATATCAAGAATATGACTTAGAATGAGAATTTTTCTAAGAAACCTGTTTTCTTTTGTTAAAAAGCTTAACAAATCAATTTTTCGGCAGGTGACTCAAATATTTTTATGCTTATTTGTCAAAGTACATACTGCAATCTGTCAATTTATCCACTCAAGCCTACATCCTTTTGTCTCACTCGTAATGTGTTTTCATTATTTATTAATTACGCTCTTTAAGTTTATTAATATCTGATGACTGAGTGGTTCTTTTCCCACCTTAATGTGTTTGATTCAATTATGCTTAATTAAAATTTAACGAGCAATGCTTATGTGATATATTTCAATATATATTTTCAATAAGACTTTCATGCAATATTTCACTTATTAATACATTTTTGATGTAAATTGCGCTAATAATGAAAAATTCTGACAGTTTTGAAAATTAGATTTGAAATGCTTTCATAATTGCTAGGAATGTGTCATTTAAAGCTTCCAAAAGGAAGGGTGGGCAGAAGCAAATTAAATGTTATTGTCGGCAAATTTAATATTGCTTTCAGTTTAGCTTGAGCTCTGAATAATGTAATCTTGTTATCAACTAATATAGCAGAATACACTGTAGTGGTATGTGATCGTTGAAGGTAGTGCACCTTCGGTGAAATTAGACACCCATTGTTTTGAAAATGCTAATAATAAAAAAAATACAATTACGTGACTTTGACGTGGTGATGCTGATGAAAAGTTTCATCATCAATTGGCACAATGCCAATATGTATTGTCAGAGAGAATGCTTTGCTCCTTACTGAATTGACATGTGGTACGATCTCGTTATTTCCCAAAGTACACATGAAAATGCATGTTCATGTGACGCACAGTGCTAAGCTCGTGATCGCAGTATGTTGTTGCATAATCGTATTCTAGCGACAGCCGCAAATTGAAATGTAATTTTATACCTTTCACTGATCTTTTTTTTTTTTTTATTTAACAAAAAAAAAAATGGTTTCTATGGAAACTGTTAGTGACGAAAAACCCTGAGGTGGTATATGATTGAACAACACTGTAATACAACTTTCGTTTGCTGACTTCGTAGTGGGAAATTGTGTATGAAACTGAATTTTCTGGATGTATCACACGTATTGCACCTGGAGAAGACCTTCCATTTCCTCTTTTATTCAGAATAGTGTATTAAATTTCCATTTGGTCAGGAGGGCATGGATTCCTCGTTGATTTGATGTTTGCTGACATCCTAAAAATTGTGTCTATGAATAATACGGTCGAGAGTTCGGCAACTTGAAACTGATCAGCAAGCAAATAACATGTCTGTTTCGCTGATGATGCATTATTAATCATCTCGCTTTGAATTTTTTTTTTAAATCCGCTGCTGTTCTGAATCCTAATTAGATAAGATCAGATTAGGGCTTTGCTGTTATCACTTATAACTTATCACTTATCACTGATAAGCCAAACATCATAATTTTGTCTTCACAACTGTATTAAAAATAAAAAGAGCAGAGAATAAAGCACCTTTTTTTTGTTTAAGGAATATTAAGGAAAGTTCTACTTCCGGAAGCTTTATTTGGTATCATGCATAGGAAGAAATGGTTTTTAATTATTTGTTTTAATTTATTCAATTTGTAAAATGTTTTGTTGAAAAAAAAATGTAGTTTTCTATTGAATATGCAGGCAAATAATTGTATTAAAATTTAATACTGGTAGTTGTCTGGCAATCAGCAATCAGAAAAAAAAAAAAGCAGTAAAACATTAATTGAATTTTTGTTTTATATATATTTTTAGTTGGCTTCTTTTAATTTGCCCAGTATTGTTTTGGACACCATTCGGTCTGCAAGTCATGGTAAATAAAATGCATTTTTTTTTATTGGTAGGCTCATTTTATTGTGGCCAAACTTCAATTTCATTCCCTTCACATAAAAAGTAAGCAATTTCTTTCCAATTACCGCCTAAGTGACATACAATGGTGACCCTCTTATTTTGAAATGAATCTCTTGTTGCCGGCAAGTTTACTCTGACCTGAATGGTTGTGAATAGATCCTACTGTCGTCGATTGTCAGTGTACTTTATCTGTGCGGTGTTTACTTGTCTTTCTAAATGCAGGTCATGGCAGTCCTGAAGTTGGTTGACCTCATAAATATTTGCTGAATCATCAACTTTCAAGTTAGATGTTTTTTCCATTGCAGTTTATTGCATGGTTGAATGAATATCGTAAACACATAGTACCTCTGCCCAGTGTTTCTACTTAGTATCTTTGCCGCCGGTGTATGGCTGTTGCTTTAGGCCACTCAAAATTAATTCTTTCCCTGATCTTGATCAAAACTCACTTTGTACTTCAATAACCTGCCCCTCCAGCCCCTGATGATCTATCACCCCTCCCCCAACACCAGACAGTAAATAGTTTGATTGACGGGTACTTTTTGGAGTAAACAACTCGGCATTGCACTGGAATGCAAAACCTATCCATGACCTGCACTGTTTACAGCTTGCTAAAGGTCAGTTACCTTTTAAAATCAACACGTCTTGTGTAAGATTTCTTTAATAGGAGGTTGACTTTATAAATTCCGTGTGGGTGAGATCTCTTAGTTGGGGGTTGGGAGAAAAAAAAATTAGCAAATTGTTTCATTTGGAGCTAGATTTCCAGTGCGTTCTTTTTGTTTTCATTTCTCTGCCTTTTTATGCAGGACCCCCCCCCCTTCCAATTTTGTTGGTGAGCCCGACATGCACTACTTGGCAGTAAAGTTTATATCAATGCTATTAAAATTGGTACAAAATAAGTCTGAGAATGCGGAGACAGCACTGATGTCATACATATGTGGATAGTTTTTTTAGTATGGTCTATTCAAAATGCAGGTGGTTGTTTATTGTAAACCATGCATGCATGCTCCCCGCAAGATCTATAAATACTGAGAATTTGTTTGTTTTTTTCTATCTAACATAACAGCATTGTTTATGTGATTTCTATGTTTGCATATCATATGTTCATTCAAATATTCCAACTATGTGAACATTAATTTTGCGGAAGAAAAAAAAAAGAATTAAACAAAAACAATTGAATATTTTTTTTTTGTCTGAAAAATTATTTAATCATTTATTTTTTTTTGTCAAACAAATTTAGTAAAATTCAGCAGTAATTTTTGTTTGTACATCTCGCAAATTTTTATGTTTAACTTCGAATATCAAATAATTTTTGAAAATTTATATCTACTGAGCGAGTTCATGTCAGCTACAAGTGTGCATCTGTATACATGTTTTCTAACATAATCTCTTAATATTTAAAAATAAAATGACGCAGACACATTATTGTCAGATATTGATTTGTTCTTTAGCTTTTCAATTGTATACGGCATAAATATTATGAAATCATTTGTGTGCTACGAAATCCCATACTAGCATTGTCAATATAATTCTTTAAATGACTATACATTCCTCGCTCCCTAGTGTATCGATATTTAAAAAAACTAAATTGCGGATATTCATAATTTGACAGAACAGGCAGGTTAATGTAGAAGCCTACTCATAAATGTAAATCTATTCATTTTACAATGACTTAAAAAAAAGAAAAGTCAGTGGGCACCAGCCTGATTTTTGAGAAAATTATGGTTGTATTTTAGTGGATTTTTGCCATTTTGGCAGTATTATTAGCCTTTCACCAAGGGTTCCATGCAGAGATATTATGATGCAGTGTAGGCTGGTAATGTATACAGACAAAATAATACATTGCAAATGATAAGTGTACTTTTTGTTTGCTTGAATTATTTCAAAAATCATAGTTTTAAAGTGTCGAAAAATACAGTTTTTCTTTAACACTGTTCTATGGTATTGTTCTAAAAATTTCATTTTTGAAATATTTTTTGAAAGTTTCTCAAAAACACAAAAGAATTGATTATGCCATGGAACAAAAGCTCCATGATTTTTTTTACCTTATAAACCAATGAACATTGTCATGTGATTTATGACCATCTTTCTCAAATTATGAGTAGGCTTCTATCTTAAAACATTAATGAGCGAATAGATTGAATGTAGAATTTTCATTTGGAAGTATTTAGAAGTTGTGAAATAGTTCTAAATTATTAGGCCTCATTGTTCATTAACCTAATAATTATTTTATGAAAGTAGTTCAAGTAGTAGTTGTCAAAGATTTAATCACTTGGGGGGGGGGGGGGGTGGTAAGTAGAAAAATCCAATAATAAATGATTTGTGTAATATAATCCTATTTACCATGCATTGGGCTTTGCAGCAGTGTGCCTTTAATGTGGCTTCCATAATGTACAATTTTCAAGAATTTCGGCAGTAAATCAAAAATTATTCGAACCTAGATATAGTAGAAATAAAAATGTTGACTTGTCTTGATGTAATAATTGTTCTGTTTTTCAATATGACAATGCTACATACAGTTGCACCATTTTGCAGATTACCGTAGGATAAAACAAAAAATTGGCATTTTGATAGCTTTATCCATAAATTATAATCAAATAATTTTCTTGATTCTGTGCAATTTAATGGATGCTGCAAATGATAGTACCGGAAATTCCATTTCCTGTCAATTTTATGGCGAATGTATCAAATATAATGATGGCGCAAATAAACTAGATTTCCTGTCATTTTTATGCGTGAACAAACTTGATAACATTCACAGAATACTGATTTCTCAAACGTTTTGTACAAAATGTGATAGAGGCAGTTTGAAATGAACATCCTGAACAATATTACTATTTCTAATTTATCTGATATTTGGGGGGGGGGGTGTATTTTCTATGATACTGAAGTTGCTGGCGGCGGAACCTTCACAAAGAGAAATTTTTAAAAACTTGAATCTTAGTTTCTTTAAATCTAAATGTTCTGAAAAAGTGATTTTTTTTTTTTTTTTTATAAACACTAGTATTGTATAATGAAAATTAACGATTTCATAATTATTCTAACCAAAAAAAAAGCGAAAACATTTAAATTTAAAAATAAGTTTTTTGGCATACTTTTTTTAATACCTTTATAATATTGATATTTATTTCATTCTTAGGGACTCTGCCAAGAACAAGTGTTATCGATTGGCTTTACAAACAAGGGAACAACACATAAGACGTGATAAAGCTACAAGCAACATATGCACGGCACAGGTAGGTCAAAGGTCGAAACTTAATCTTGTATAAAACTTTCAAATTTTTATTCTTAAATAAAATATAAAAATCTTCGTCAGTGTGCTGTAGAAAATAATTTTGATGCTGGTCAATTTGTAACATGTATACCGCCCTCTATTGGTGTCATTTTTTCATTTCGCGGATTAAAGCTTCATCCCTCTGATTTTGCTTTTTATTGCAGGCTCTTCTTGCAAACATCTCGGCCATGTTTGCTATATATCATGGTCCTAAAGGACTCAAATATCTAGCGACGAGAGTCCATAACGGAACACACATCATAGCAGAAGGTACGTATATGGATAACCTATAAAGCTGGAATCTGATTGGATTAATTTACAGATAGATTGTTACGTACAGACGCTAGCACTCGACTCGTATAACGACTCGTATAACAAATAAAACGGCTGAACGCAAGCAGTGTGCAAATAGGCAGATAGGGTTGGGATGATCCGGATTAATTTAAATTAATAATTAGTGACATTGGTTTGTACTATATTTCTCACTTCAATCTAATAACCATTTTTAATATCAAAGGCATAGTTTAAAAAAAAAAATAACCTGCGTAATTTAAGACAAGTAGCAAATAATAACCTTAATAAAATTTGCAAAAGAAATTTTCAGAAGAATGATAGAACGGTTAGTAAAGACTATGTTCTTGGATTTTGTGCAAGGCATCACTATTTTAGCTATGTTTTATTCAGAGTTAAGGTAAGGTCATTTGCTGTCATTCGACTCTGATTAAATTAAACTGAAAATTCATTTTTTTGTTTCAAAAGTGGTATGTAATTGTTATCTCACCCAATATGTATTATTTCTTTTTTTTTGGCAAATAATTGTCTGAAAACATCTAAAAATGGGCTTTTTTGGAACTTTTTCCCATAGGAAGTGTTATTCCATAAACTTTCAGCAAAATTTCCCATTAATTCGAGACAACCCATCTTAGAACTAACTACATATGAATGAAATTTTTAGATATGACAACTTTATTACCATAGCAACTAATGGTGAAGGGCTCAACAATTTCCCATTTGCATGCATGATGACACATTTTTTGTGTATGTGTACGATAAGTAGTTTCATGGTGACCTCTGATTATCTATATATGAGGGAAAGCTAGCGTTAAGTTTTAATGGTAGCCAAATACCTTAATAGGGAAAAACAAACATGTTTTATGGCTGACTGCATTTTTATTACAGTTTTCTCGTTTAGTATTTGTGTTTATTTCGACTGATGATCTACGCTTAATTTCTCGGTAGCAGCAACAAGGGTATAAATTAAGTTAAAAATTGAGCTGTGGTTCGGACATTCTCAAAAAGATACTAAGCATGCTACTATAAAAAGTTTAGGTGCAAGCGAATATGGTGGACGGCCTATGGTGTACCTATGTTTGTCCAAGGGATTACCTGATAGTCAATTTCGCTTTTGTCATTTTCGTCTATTGAGAACGGCGCTTTCTTTCAGTCATGCGAATTATAGTAGTGCATAATAACGTTTAAAGAATTTCTGAATCACAGATCAATTTTTAACCTGCTTTTCTGCTGTTCACCTGCAATGAACCATAAAATATTGAATTTCCGTCTGGGAATCACACGACTGTTCAAAATTGTATGATCTTGTTCAGAATCAATCTCATTGCTTGATTCAGTAAGTTTTTTTTAGCTCCGCTGTCGACTTTGTCGAGCGGAGCTTATCATATGAGTGATTGTCCGTCGTCGTCCGTGTCAATGTTTTACTTTTTCGACTTCTTCTTGAAAACTACAAGCCTGAATGCTTTGATACTTGGTGTATATGTACCTTGGGTAGACCTCTCTTAGGTTTGTTCATTTCATGTTGATATCTTCAATTCTCTAATTTTGGTGAATATTTTTGTCATTTTTGGTAAAAAGTGATATTTTCGACTTCTTGTTAAAAAATGCAAGTGCAATTGCTTTGATATTACATATATAGGTACTACATGTGGACCTCTCTCAGATTTGTTCATTTTGTAATGATATCTTTAATTCTCTAATTTTGATGAATATTTTTGTAATTTTTGGTAAAAAGTGATATTTTCGACTTCTTGTTGAAAACCGCAAGTCCAATTGCTTTGATATTACATATATAGGTACTACATGTGGACCTCTCTCAGATTTGTTCATTTTCTAATGATATCTTCTGTTCTTTAATTGCCATGTGCATTGCTAACAGCGGAGCTATCTCAGCCGACAGGCTGCTTGTTTAATAAAACAATTGTTTTTTTTGTGTCTCCAAAATATTAACGGGACTTTTTTTCTTTCTAAATTTTGTAGGTTTAAAAAAGGCAGGGCATACGATTGAACATGCCATGTTTTTTGACACTATCAAGGTGCATTGTGGGACTGACAGACAGACAGTTCTTGACAGAGCCCAAGAAAAACAAATTAATCTAAGAACGTTTGAGGATGGGACTGTAAGTAATGTACATTTCAACAATTAATTTATAGTTCAAAGCAGGATTTTCTTTTTTTCAATGTGATAGTTTTCGTTTTATTAAATTTAAAACTTTTTTTAGTTAAAATTTGTGGAAATTAAATACAAACACAAGTGAAGAACATTTGATGGTGTGATACCATTAATTCAAACATGTCTGTATTTGTAAAAGCTGACCGGGCTTCTGTGATTGCTTGAGTGTTCTTTTCGTGTGAAAGAGTTCTACAGCAAGATCTTCTTTCAAGCGTAGTGTAAAATGTTCTTGTGAAGGTGTTTGCCATTTTTCAGTCGATAGTGATATCGCATTCGCCATTCTTGTTGCCATGGCAACCACTCATGATAGCTAGTGCGTGGGATTATTTCTGCTTCCCTGCGGAATCAAACCGGGCGTTATCTTGATGCACTTCTGCATTTTCTCATAAAATATTTTTCCGATAATTATCGTAAATTGTATCAGGTGATAAATTTGTAATGTTATCACAATAATCATGGTGTTTTAAGTGTGAACTTGCGCAAGTTTTTTTACTGTCGTTATCCCAAGCGGCTGTGTGAAATCTTTGCTACAATTTAATGTGTTAATGGATTTTAAGGAGGTCTACTGTGTGCTCTTAATTTTGGTGATTAATTACCGTAGTTTGGTTCTGTCGGCGGCCAGTTCATTTGTCAAAAATGTTTAAATGTAGCTTTACTTGCACTGTATTTCCTTTATTAATATGACATGCATTTATGTAAATATCATAGTTGTGCTTACTGGTTAAAATAAATCATATTTTAAATGATTTAAGAGTACATATATACAAATTTATGATCTATAAAAGAAATTACATTTTATTCTACAAATCCAGACTATTGATCACTATTTGGTTTTCACTGAAAGTGTATAATTTTACGAAAGTTTTGTGGGAAAAATCCCGACTTTCATCAATTAGCGATTCCACGTAGTTGAACACGTTCTAGATATAGTGCACTTATATCTGTGCCGACACATGACTTTATAAATATGCAATTTAAATTTAAATGGATTTTGTAACGAACCTTTTGAAATGATGCCATGCATATCAATTAGATTAATTTGCATACCAAATACTGTAAAATGCTTTATTTCAGCTGGAGCTAATTTTTGTATGTAACTTATTTTCACTAACTTTTTGAGTTGAATGTTAACTATAGGAAAAAAGGTATATTCACTGTATTTTATTTTCGCTGAATCAATCCTTCAGTGAAAATTAATTCCAAGCAAAAAAGGCATTTTATCGTACATGTCCTTTGTGAAATTAAAAGTATGCATACACATTATGGGACATTAAATATTAATGCTTGTAAAACGAGTGAGTGTCCACAGTGGTATGTATTTTTTGATTAATAAATTTATTTTCTATTACTAGTTCGGTATTTCTTTAGACGAGACTGTGAAGGAAGAAGATATGGATGACATTTTGTGGGTATTTGGTTCAGATTCAACATCGGTAAGTAATATAATAATTATATAATATATATCTCAATATATTTGAATTTTCTGCAACAATCAACACGGTTCCATCTGTCTTGCATCAAATATTTCTAATCACACTGAATTATTAATAGAACTGTAATGTAATTTGAAGGTGTTAATTTTCTTGTTTGTACCCAATGTTTTACAATATGCAGATGTATACATTGTATTTCGCCAAAGATGCATTTGAGATGAGGAGCAGTCTGTTAGCACTGCAGTTCCTTGGGATAGTAAGAGTCGGTGTCTTTAATGGATTTTCTAATTTTCAGGAAAAGTTTAATTTTTTTGGGGGTTCTTATCATTGTTTAATACAAACCCCCTGGATATATTGGCAAGGTTTACATAGTTTCTCTGTATTTTCCTTCAGGCAATGGTTGCTGAAAGTATGGGAGAGTCTCCTCAAGGTAGTATTTCTAACAGTGGATTTAAAAGAAACTCGGAATACCTCACACATCCGGTGTTCAACAGGTGAGAGAAATATGCAAATTAGACTAATAAATATGCATAATTTTGTTGAATTTCAAATAGGTGATTCTGCATTTGATATGTGCATGTAGATATGCATTCACTGAAACATTGTCACTGGCGTCATTACCACAGTAAAGGCCTCCTTTAATTACTTTAAATCGGTCAACTATCTTGATATACTGGAAAAAGTAAACTTTGCTGACTGGACTAGCGAAAATACACTTTCCTTGTTATTGCAAAGCTGTTATTGGTTGGTAATTGAGAAGCTTGGAAGTAGTTTTTTAGCTCCGCTGTCGACTTTGTCGAGCGGAGCTTATCATATGAGTGATTGTCCGTGTCAATGTTTTACTTTTTCGACTTCTTCTTGAAAACTACAAGCCTGAATGCTTTGATACTTGGTGTATATGTACCTTGGGTAGACCTCTCTGAGGTTTGTTCATTTCATGTTGATATCTGCAATTATCTAATTTTGGTGAATATTTTTGGTAAATAGTGATATTTTCGACTTCTTGTTAAAAACCGCAAGTGCAATTGCTTTGATATTACATATATATAGGTACTACATGTGGACCTCTCTCAGATTTGTTCATTTTGTAATGATATCTTTAATTCTCTATCTAATTTTGGTGAATATTTTTGTCATTTTTGGTAAAAAGTGATATTTACGACTTCTTGTTAAAAACCAATAGTCCGATTGCTTTGATATTACATATATAGGTACTACATGTGGACCTCTCTCAGATTTGTTCATTTTGTAATGATATCTTTAATTCTCTAATTTTGGTGAATATTTTTGTCATTTTTGGTAAAAAATTATATTTTCGACTTCTTGTTAAAAACTGTAAGTCCGATTGCTTTGATACTATACATATTGTTCATTTTCTAATGATGTCTTCAGTTCTTTAATTGAAATGAGCATTGCTAACAGCGGAGCTATCTCAGCCAATAGGCTGCTTGTTTCAGAATTAATGGAATAAATAATACAAGTCACTATAAGAAAATAATCTATTCCAGTCTATTTCTATTTAGCTGCTTGTTTATTGATGTGTACCTGACCCGGATTTGTGTTGTTTATTTAAAAAAAAAAAAAGATCTCACCTACTTGTGAATGTACTTTCTATCTGAATAATTGCAAAGTGTCTGGACATATTTGCAAAGTTTGCTACCATTTAAAAAAACATACTCAGAAATCTTTGAAATCATACAAAAGAGGTTGGGTTACTGTAATGTTCAAAATTCTGAAATAAAAATATATGGTCACTGAACTACCGGTAATTTTTTCACAAAACGACAACGAAAATCAAAAATGCCTGTTTACAATTGGTTCCTATTGTAGAAACATTCAATTGTACGTCAAAGTTTTGTTCAGTTACCCCAGCAAAAAATTTTTAGTGTTAGGAATAATTTGAATATTACTAAGTTATTGATGAAATAATGTGTTTACATTGATTCAAAATTACCACTTTTTGGGGTGTGTCGTCTGATTTATGATTTAACTTTATAATTTCTATAGTTATCATTCGGAGACCAAAATTGTGAGATACATGAAGATGTTGGAGAACAAGGATGTTTCCTTGGTGCATTCGATGATCCCATTAGGCTCGTGTACAATGAAGCTGAATAGTACAACGGAAATGGAAGTAAGTTATCGATTTGCATGTACCCATTTTACCAGGATGTAGCCACAGTCCCTAGACATAGCCCATCATTTGAACATTTGATGCTTAAATTTTGAACTCAGGAGGGGGGGGGGGTGTACATAAAAATGCATTTTAGGCAGGGTTATATGATGTATATTACGTGAAAAAAAATAGAAAATTGATCAAAAGTGTACTTGCTTTGTGAACTGTATAATACTTCATTTTTAACGCTTGAATTCTAAGAAATGGACAGATTTATTTTCCTTTTATGGTTTCTGTGTATCAGTTTATGCATCTTGAATTATCTAGCTGAATTAGATGTGATTATCCAGATTACAAAAAATGTTCCATGTTCGCTGTGAAAATAATGTTCTGATTTTGTATTGCAGCCTATTACGTGGAAAGAGATCGTCAATATTCATCCATTCGTGCCAATTGACCAGGCTCGTGGATATCAGCAAATGTTCGCTGAGTTAGAACGTGATCTGTGCGAGATAACCGGTTATGATAACATCTCGTTTCAACCCAACAGTGGTGCACAAGGGGAGTATGCAGGTCTTCGTGCTATTATGGCCTATCTTGCATCCATAGAACAAAAACATCGGAAGGTAACGTTAATTCATGTTTTTTTTAACGCAAATTGACATTTGAATTAGGATTACCATATTTGAATAGCGATTACCATATTTGAATAGCGATTACCGTATTTGAATTAGGATTACCGTATTTGAATTAGGATTACACGTATTTGAATTAGGATTAGCTATTTGAATTAGGATTACCGCATTTGAATTAGGATTACCGCATTTGAATTAGGATTACCGCATTTGAA